TTGCGCGCGCGCCCACACGCCATCTTCCTACCACACCTGTGTATACGCCCACCTCCTTCTTTTCATGCCCTGCTCGCACGCATGCATATATGTATATCTGTATGTATGTATGTATGTATGTATGTATGTACCTATGTATGTATGTATGTATGTATCATGTATGTATCTATCTATCTATCTATCTATGTGTGTATGCATGAAAACATACATGCATGGCATGCATGCATGCATGCAAGCATGTATGTATGTATGTATGTATGTATGTATGTATGTATGTACGTATGTATGTATGTATGTATGTATGTATGTATGTATGTATGTATGTATGTATGTATGTATGTATGTATGTATGTATGTATGCATGTATGTATGTATGTATGTATGTATGTATGTATGTATGTATGTATGTATGTATGTATGTATGTATGTATGTATGTATGTATGTATGTATGTATGTATGTATGTATGTATGTATGTATGCATGTATGTATGTATGTATGTATGTATGTTCGTATATACAGAAAGCGAACGGCCCTCTGAGTGGGAATGGGGAAAGTGCGGTAAGAAACAACAAGCAACTGGCAACGGGTCAACTACTAAATCGATAAAGCTATATATATATATATATATATATATATATATATATATATATATATATATATATATATATATAGCATACGCAAATTAAACTTGGATAGATGTTTTCAATCCGTGCACCCGAAGGAGAAAAATTTAAAAGACTGTCCAGTGTACATTGCTGGCTTTAAAACTTTATTTCCTTCTCTTTTTCACGAGTGACATAAAACGTTTGAACATTCTGTTCCAATAACGTTAAAAGTTTAAAAAGCCGAACGATTCAAAGCTCACCCTCAGATGCTATTAGAGGTACTCACCACGGCCTATCGGGGGTCCTATTGTGCTCACTTTCCCTAGGGACTGTAATGCTGATTGTGGATGGTAGTATGTGTGTGTGTGTGTGTGTGTGTGTGTGTGTGTGTGTGTGTGTGTGTGTGTGTGTGTGTGTGTGTTTGAGGGCACGTATTTGCATATATGCGTGCAATAGAGAGAGAGAGAGAGAGAGAGAGAGAGAGAGAGAGAGAGAGAGACAGACAGACAGACAGAGAGAGAGAGAGAGAGAGAGAGAGAGAGAGAGAGAGAGAGAGAGAGAGAGAGAGAGATAAAGAAGGGGGGGGGGAGAGTCAGTTAGGGAGAACGATATTGGGAGAGACAGAGAGAGGGAGAGAGAGGAAGAGTTGGGGGGGGGAGAAGGATCACCATGTGATATGAGAGAGGAAGAGGGATAGAGCGAAGGGAGAGAGGGAGAAAGGGGGAGAGGGAAAGGGAGAGAGGAAGAGTGAGACAGAGAGAGAGAGAGAGAGAGAGAGAGAGAGAGAGAGAGAGAGAGAGAGAGAGAGAGAGAGAGAGACGGTGGGGTGGGGGTTCATTGTTAAAGTACGAGCGTTTAAAGCCTGGCTACAGCGTATGCAGAAGTGCATTGACAGCGGGGGATGCTATATTGAATAGAACATATATTAAAGATAATATATTGAGCCAACTTTAATCAATCTAGGCATTATGGTCTTTGTTTTATAAAGGAGGGACATTTAGCTTTTTTTTTAAAGAGCATCCGAGCTAAGGAATGAATGGAGAACCACGATTGCCGATGTTTTTCCCAGATCTGGCACTGGATGATGATGAAAGGAGGGAAACGTATTTAGGAAACGGAGTAGTACTGCCGCAGGCGATGCTGCAGAATGAACGGAAAAAAGGGAGGAAAGGGAAGATGAGAATTTTTACAATGATCAGCTCTTATACTTAAACTCAAATGACTGGTTCCGACAACAAAAAAGAAACACAGTCGAACGTTACAATAGCGCTTCACCTGGCGGATGCCATTTCTATGCACGATTGGTACAGGCTTTGTTAGTAAAAGGGGTTGCATAATGTAGCGTCGAATACTCACTCAAAGGTATACACCGCATTGATGGGATAAACGGACTATTTCGTAATCGCGGATCAATACACCATTACTCTCGACGACAGCTTCCGGCGATGTACATCAAGTGCACCTGATGACAACACTCTGTTCGTGGTGTGAAAAGCAATTAACCGGAGAGAACGGCGGACACTCAAGGTGCCTGGGGAATTATGAACTACATTCTACCTCTTTCCCCATCAGGAACCATGAGGTACAAATGTTTTGTGTAGCAAGTTTTAACACCTTAAACACTAAAGCCTAAAAACAAGTATGCGTGGAAAACAGGATTTGTGGGAAGTAGGACTGACAGTCATGTTATCCTATGAAATACAGTCGAACCTGCCCTGGCGGCTACCTCTATTTGCCGGCCACTTGTACAAACGGCCACTTTCCATCCCCCCCCCCCTCCCTTGCGTTTTTTCTATATAATTTAACTGTGTAAAACGGGCACCTGTCCGAGTGGTGGTGACCCGTGTGTTTGTTTTACCATAGCACTCGGTCCATTTCGTTTTATTGTCACCCTTGAACTAAAGCAGCAACAAATGACCCCCCC